GGGGGGGGCGGTTCTAAGAAATAACATTGGACAATATCAGACAGAAAGTCCCATCCAATGTCTAGCTCACTGGATAATAAAAGAACATCTTAAAGCACATCACAGTGAAACTTAAGCACAAGAATTTAAAAAAAAAGATCCCAGCCACAAAGGATCAGGGGTCAGAATGGAGTCCGATTTCTCCACAGAAATCTCAGAAGACAATGCAGCGGTGCCCTCAACGTTCTGGGGAGAAATGCTGAGGGCAAAGATATTTCCAGAAGGCAAGGTCTCAAAAAATGTTCTTCTAAACACTACTTCTCAGGAAGCTTTTGGAAAATATGTCCCATCGAAAGGAAGAAGTAAAGCAAGGAAGAAAAGGGATCAGTGAACACGGGGTCCCACACAGGAAACAGCTGGGTAAATCCTCAGGATGGCGGTGAAAGGAATGCCAGGAAGACGACCCCACAGCTGGTCCGGGAGCAGCCGGCATCACTGGAAGGGAGGTGCCCCCTCATTCAGAAGGGCCCCTCTCCATGGGGATCTGGTGGGTCATTAGTGACAGATAAAATGGAGCATATTAATACCAGGGAAAACAAAAGGTTTGATTAGAAAGCAATCATAATCACTGCGTGGATCAGCTGTGACTGAGATTTTATAGTCATAATGATGTAAACACTGAATTTAGCCACACATATAGACACAGGGAGAACAGAGGGAGGGGAAGTATGTGTGAGGGGAAGATGACTGTAAGAAACCTAATTTTGCCAGGCCAGGGCATGGCTCAGTGGTTGAACATCAACCTAGGATCCAGGAGATTGACATTCGATTCCTGGTCAGGGCACATGCCGGGCTGCAGGCTTGATCCCCAGTCGGGGGCGTGCAAAAGGCAGTTGATCAATGACGACTCTCTCATCATTGATGTTTCTATCTCTCTCTCTCCCTTCTTCTCTCTGAATCAATAAAGATACATTAAAAAAAAAACTAAAACAAAAAACCTAATCTTCATTTTCCATCAAAGGAACTTAAATATCTAAAAGTGGGGCGGGATCAAGAAATAGACTCATAAGCATGTATTAAAAACATGGAAGAAAATAACAGAAGTAACAGCTAAAAGTTGGAAGTGTTTGCCTTGGGAAGCTGGGAAGGGTGGAGAGAAGACATCTTTTGTTAGAAGCCAGGTAGAATTAATTAAATACACAAAGTTGCAGGTACAGAACATGAAGCTTTGAGAACATTTGCTAGGGGCGATCGGTTTCAGGGCTTCCCTAAGGAGCTAACATCTGACCAGGGGTCTGAAGCTGGAGTTTGGCAGGGTACCTTCCAGGTGGAAGGGACAGAAACTGCTCAGGCCCTAAGGGCAGAGGAAGGGTGGCAGGCCTTGAAAACCGAGGGCAGGGAACACAGAGTGTGGGTGTGGGGGGTCCACCATCAAGTAGAGGTTGGGCCCAGCCAGACGTGGCTCAGCGGTTGAGCGTCAACCTAGGATCCAGGAGATTGGGGTTCAATTCCAGGTCAGGACACATGCCCGGGTTGCGGGCTGCAGCCGATCAATGACTCTCTCATCCTTAATGTTTCTATCTCTCTCTCTTCTTCTCCCTTCGTCTCTCTGAAATTAATAAAGATATATTAAAAAAAAAAAAAAAAAAAAAA